CTGTGCTGAAGCTGAAGTTGACTTCTAATGAAGTTGCTACCCTTCTAGTTTTGTTTTTGTTCTTGTTTTTTTTTTTTCAGCGAGAAAGGTGTTATCTCCAACTATTGTTGTAATCTATGGGCATAGACGAGTATATCTTAATGGTATATTCTTCTCCTTATCTGGTGTTATACGATGTACAATTTGTACCTTCTTCGGGGAGAATTCCAGCACATAATAGTAACGGACGTATTGCGGGACATGTTGGAAGAACGTTCAGACTGCGTCCAGCGGCTGGCCCGACATGTCTGCGAGCCCCACGTGGCGCCTGAGACGTCCGGAGGAAGGGCGACAGCACACGGGCGCGGACGCCACAGGGGAGCGACGGCCGGGGGTGCGTCGGCTGAGGGAGCGGAGCCTTCGGATGGGGGGGAGGCTCAGCGTGACGGGTCCTGGAGAGTGAAGTCACGTGTTCTGTCTTGGTAATTCCGGATCTTGGATTCGCTCCTTCGAGTGGGAACGAGGCTACACATTCATGGAATTGTTGTAGAGTCCAAACAAGCTGGCTTTTAATACTGATGACCCGTTAGACGGAACGTAGCTCTGATGACCTGGCTTGACCTTTGCTCGCGAGACAACCCGGGATCTCGTGCGTTGATGTCAGCTGCCTTCTAAAAGCGTTCGTGACCAGCGGCGTCACACATGCACAATCGCGCAAGACGCAGGCAAAGATTTTGCATACTTAAATTCAACCCAGAAACAATCCAAGTTGTCAGCTATTTCTGCAGATAAATCATCTATAAAACAAGATCTATCTCTCATGAGCATAAATGAAAATAAAAAACAAAAACAAAAACACCACGACTACGAGACAACTCTTTAAATGTTACTCAAGTTTTGACAAGTCACTGCAACATGAACGTGAATATGAAGGAAAGTCCCTCTGGAACGAAGGAGGGACGAAGGGACACGACAACTGCACACACGAGAGACAACACTCCACGACAGGAGGACATACAAGAGGCGACGACACAGAGCGGGAAGCAAGAGAGGAGAAAGAGCCGGATGATGAGGGACGTGCGCGGAGGAGCGAGGACAACACGGAGAGAGACAACCTTCTCGCCCGAAGACACGGTGCGGACTGGCAACTCCGGGCAGCTGCTGGGTGAGGTGGTGACCGCCCTGCTTCGGCCGCCGTACGTTGCTGCCTGGCTCTTGCATGCAACACGTCAGATATGGAGCCTAATTGCCTCCCTACTCGAACGGATAAGGGCGAACCCAGACGCAAAGCCGGGGACTCCTCCGCCATTGGTGAAAATATAAAAAAGAGGATAAAGATAGCAAGGGAGGAATCGAGACTCATTTCGAAGTATCGCAGAACATGTAGCGTGACTTTGCCCCTCCCATTCCTTGCTTCGCACTCACACTCACACAAACACACGCACACACGCACACATCCTCCATACTGCCTCTTCCCTCCCAACATCACCGTTCCTAATTTTACCTTCCTTTTACAGATAAGAGAGAAGTAAAATTCTCTAAATCAATTTGACTTCACTCAGGGCTACCAGTTGCTCGATGATGATTTATAAGCAAAGTTTCACATTTAAAAAACCTTTCAGATTTGCAATGAAGGTAAGAGTTTGTAATGTTTCTAAATAAAAAACTTTTTTTCCTTCGCCAAGTCACCGGTAAGGAATCGGACTAGCAGTGACGTCATACCTCTGCCATCGACCGTGCGCGCGCCGGGGGGGGGAAAGAGGGGGGAGAGGGGGAGGGGCAGTGGCGTACTGCATGACGCTATGACGAAATCAACTTCAACGATAACGATCCATCCCACCTTCGCGACCAGTGTCACTTATACTACGCCACAATACTTATAGTGCCACTTACTACGCCAAAATCCGTGGAGTGCCACTTGCTACGCCTCAGGGATTGGCCGGTCCTGCCCTCCCTGCGTGTTGACGGTGCCGCTTTTATCTTACCGATATTTCTCTCAAATTATCGGGCCATTTACGAATCGGTTTTGAATAAGAACACGAATAAGAACACATTTACGGGGCATTCAAGAACACACCCTTTGATTAATGCCACACCGATAAATACCTGCTTATAGATAATTACCTCTGACGCAAAACAAAAGTCCGATACGCAAAACTGTATCAGATGCTGCGTCAGATTCTCAGCGATACCATCAACGCCAATTGCCTACTCTGATGGCGAACAACATTAGAAAGAAAGGTTTTCCTCTCAAATATACGGGGATAAAACCTTTCGTCGAATGGCACAACTCTAACCAGAAAGCCACTAATATATGATTCTTACGAAGAATCTCTATTGTTTACTCCTCCTCTCACGCAAGTCAGCTGTTATTTAAAAAAAGGAAATCTCACTCTTTGACCTCTAAGTCGTAGCATTGTTGACATAATCCTTTAATAAGAATAAATGTAGAATGCTATTGTATTAACATTAACTGTATAGATAATGGTTGTCAAATGGTTGAAAATCTATAGTAATTAATTTTATTTAGTGAGTAAAAATGAGTAAACAGGGTAGATAAGAGCATAAGTCTCCGGCATGTAACCACCTTTTCAACAGAATGCAATGCAATGAAAAAATATATCTATTTTTGCTCCCATGCAGAATTAGAAGCAAGGGCATGCTAATGTAATAGTATTAAATAACATCTTAAGGTTGCTATTTTGTTACGAGTCTTTGGATGTAATATTTTCTTGATAGACAGTGAAAAATAATATATACACAGGTAAACCACATCAAACGATACGAAGGAAAATATACTTTTTTATTTCTTTTAAAAGTTTGTGAAAAGAATAGCAAGTGCATCGTATAACACAGCAGCAGATATACCATATTTTGACAATCTCTCTCTCTCTCTCTTCTCTCTCTCTCTCTCTCTCTCTCTCTCTCTCTCTCTCTCTCTCTCTCTCTCTCTCTCTCTCTCTCTCTCTCTCTCTCTCTCTCTCACTCTCTCTCTCTCACTCTCTCTCTCACTCTCTCTCTCACTCTTCCTCTCACTCTCCTCTATCCCTCTATCCCTCTATCCCTCTTTTCCTCTCTTCCTCTCTCCCTCTCTCCTTCTGTCCTTCTCTCCCTCTCTCCCTCTCTCCCTCTCTCTCTCTAACATACCTACACTAAGCACATCCTCCATGATATAATGCCGCAACTTTTCGCACATAACCTTCCCACAATGAACGTTCCAGCCAACATCAAACAGCACAACGTTTATTTCCCTGATCGTATTACCACCCACGCTAATATTGTCTATTTCTCATTTCTATGCAGATTCCACGAAATCGTTTAGCACACGACTTCCGCCTGTAGTCCCCGAGAATACCTCCATTTATAATGACGTGTTATTTTGTGTATTGGTTCTCCTGTGTTTTTGTTTGTTTGTCTTTGTTGGGTTGTTGGTTCGTGTGCTTAGTGCTATTGTGTGTTTCTGTTGTTGTTTGAGTTTGTAGTGTTGTTGTTTTATGTCGTTAGTGGCATTGTGTGTGTTTTTGTTGTTGTTGTCTTTGTAGGATTGCGTTTAGATTAGGTAGTGGTAATGTTTGTTTTTGTTGTTGTCTTTGTAGTGCTGTGGCTTTGAGTAGTAGTATTACAGAACTAGGGCTTTATACACAATATTCTTGTGATGGTAATAGTTATATAATGAAAACTTTCTTTTTTGTATTCGGAGTGTTGTTGATGTTGATGAATTTGATTTTAAATGATAGAAAAACATTGAGATCCTGGTACTACTTTTGGGTCGTAAGCGCAGTCGCCTTATTTGGTATGGACAGACGACTTCCGCCTTTTTATGAAGTTTAGGAACTCTTTGATCATAGAGGAAATATTCAAGTCACGCTCCTGCCTGGCTACAGTGCAAAGACTTACGCAGGAAAAAGATAGATGGAAAATCATATTTTTATTGTAATGTGTTTGGCAAAAAGAGTGATTTTTTTCTTTTAATTTCCAAAGCAATAAAAGTTTTCTTTTTTTAATACATAGCAGGACACATCTGCATAGACTTTCATAATCTCCAAATAATTACTTTTTTGAGAGAGAGAAAAAATGAACGAAAAGTCTCTACACCAATTTTATCGCTATCACATTTACGAAATTTCAACTCTTACGTTTTTGGATGCCAGAGAGATTTAATGAATGACGGAACGTAATTCTGTACCTTCCATTCCACGCAAAATAGGGAAAAAGTGAACGCCATAGCCTAATCACCCCAATATGCAGAGCTTCCAAATGTCATAAATCAAAGTTTGTTTTTTCCCTTTTAGCTTTTTTTTTTTTCTTTTCTTTTTTTTTTTGGGGGGGGGCTGAATAACTGTCGCTTGACTACTTACTGTGCTGAGCGAGAGAGACGGAGAGCTACTAATAGTACTTAAAAAAATCTATATCTATATCTATATCTATCTGTCTGTCTATCTATCCATCTATCTATCTATCTATCTATCTATCTATCTATCTATCTATCTATCTATCTATCTATCTATCTATCTATCTATCTATCTATCTATCTATCTATATCTATCTATCTATCTATCTGTCTGTCTGTCTGTCTATCTATCTATCCATCTATCTGTCTATCTATGTCTATCTATCTATCTATCTATCTATCTATCTATCTATCTATCTATCTATCTATCTATCTATCTATCTATCTATCTATCTATCTATCTATCTATCTATCTATCTCTCTCTCTCTCTCTCTCTCTCTCTCTCTCTCTCTCTCTCTCTCTCTCTCTCTCTCTCTCTCTCTCTCTCTCTCTATATATATATATATATATATATATATATATATATATATATATATATATATATATATATATATATATATATATATATATATATATATATATATAATATTTATATACTTATATACACATATATACGAATATCAAAGCTGATTTTATTCTCTCACTCAGGCCTGAATTCTGACGTTCGCTGGCCCAGCAGAACCACCTTTACAACACGAGAAGTAACAAGGGGACGAATGGTTAATAAGC